CCCCCCCACCCCTTTTAAAAAAAAAAAAAAAAAAAAAAAGCCCTGCATTCACTGGTTCTGGCAGCGATGATTGGGGCCTCTGGGCATTTGTGGCAGAGAAGCCCCCCTGCGCAGTTGGGGGCAGTGGGGATCTCCCCGCCCTCCTCCCCTGGCACCCACGCCACAGCTGTCACATTGTGTGAGTGCAGCGCGGCTTGGCAGGGTGCCATGCGCTGTCTGGGATCTGGGGCAGCTCCGCATGTCAGCTGTAGCCCAGAAGCACTTGGCTCCAGTGGCCTCAACTCCCAGGGAGTATGTGGCGCCCTGCTGAGCCGTGCTGAACCCACGCCATGGGGCAGCTGCTGCGCGGGTACCAAGCGGGGAGGGCGATTCCTACTGCCCCACACTGTATGGGGGTGCTCTGCCACAAGTGCCCAGAGGTCCCAATCGCCACTCCTGCAGTGAGTGCAGGGCTTTGTTTTTTTGGGTTTTTTTTTAATACTAAGTGCTAGAACTGGGCTGGGACTCAGCAGGGCAACCATGGGGGCTTCTCCCGTGGCTCCCCCTGCCCGGAGAGAGGCAGGCACAGCCGGAGGAGCCACAGGAGACCCTGCAGCTGCCTGGCTGTGCCTGCCTCTCCCCAGCCAGTTCGAATCTCTGAATCAGCACCAAATCTTCCAAAGCTTATTCAGCTGAATTGATTCAGGACAGTGATCCAAATCTTCAAATCGAATCACTGTCCTCTGATTCCACTGCACACTGATACAGTTTCTTTCAGTTTCTCAGTAGTTGTATTGCTTAGAGCAGATGTAGGAGGTCTATTGTTGTATTACCTAGAGCTGCTGAAGGGAGGCAGAGAACTCTGAAGGGAGTAAACTTTATTACAAATTTGAATCCAGGGTCAGTGGATGCATCTCTCTCTAATGGCTACTTTGCTTTGGAATGATTCTGAAACCAGTTAATTCCAACTTAAAAGTTTTAGCATTGGGTCTGCAAAAGCAGTGTAGACAGATATTTAAGTTACTGCTTGTGTACAGTTCTGATGTTCTTGGAGATGAGCAGTTGACACCTTACTGATCTCATATAGACAATGTATCCTTTGGTATTAAAAAACCTGTTTTCAGTTGGGAAAGAAAAAAAAGAGATGAAATGTGTCCATGTATCTATTCAGGTGTCTCCATGGGATAAACGGGAGGAAGCAAATAAAAAGAAACTGGAATTTGCCATAGGAAATAGTGATTATCTGGCTCTTCTTCAGGCTTATAAGGTAAGTTAAAATCAATGGCTTAAGTGAAAAATTTGGAAGAGCTGCAATGTAGGATTGTACAATATATTGAAATTTATATTTTTCTGTTGTTTAGGGGTGGCGCCTGAGCACCAAAGAGAGTTCTCATGCAAGTTATAGCTACTGCAGGGAGAATTTTTTATCAGGAAGAGTTCTGCAGGCAAGTTGCATTTAACTCAACAGTTTTCTGAATTAATAAAAGTATACAACCATCTCCACCTTCTATTATTCCACCTACTCTTCTTCCCCGTTCTTGCCCTTCCTATCTGGTTCATCCAGGAAAATGAAACGTTACTTACTGAAATTTTGACCAGCTCCCTCAGCCTATAATCCTAGCATTAGCAGGTATTTAATTTAAATCAACTCTAGGTTTAAACCAAAGCTAGAATACTTCAGCCCCCAAAAAAACTGGTTTGAAAGATTCTGAATAATAATAAAGATTGTAGTTATAAGTGGTATGAGAAGGTTCCAACCTTAGCTGCTATGGTTGCAGTGCCTGCACTATAACAGGGATGGCTAAGCTTATATACCATAAGTGCTATGGGTAGCCTCTGTGTGGCATGTGAGAGATTGGGGAGGGGTAGGGAGTAGAAAGCAGAGGAGTAGGTTAGGCAGGGGAAGGGGATTGGACTGTTACGTGGGGAGGGCACAGGGCTTAATTTGTGGCACGCTTGCCAAAAAGGATGGCCTCCACAGCACTATAATATTTCATTGGACAGCCTCTTGTGGTGGAGATCCTCTTTAACTGAGGAACTGCACATGCATCAGTTTTCTTACTGCAAGTGATGAAAATAGGTGGAGGTGATGGCCTCCACCACAGATAGCTTGTTCTTGCAACTTGGTATTTCAGCCTGAGCAATTCAGTAAAAATAATAAAAAATAGAACCTTTTAAAAAAACTTTTTTTTTTGCTTGTAGGAAATAGCTAGCCTGAAAAGGCAATTCACAGAGCTACTCTCTGATATTGGATTTGTGAAGGAGGGCTTGAGAGCCAGGGACATGGAGAAGAGGTGGTTCCAAGGAGGAGATGGCGTTTTGGATGCTACAGGAGAAGAGGTAACTGGAGTGTTAGTGATCTTAAACTGATTCTGTGGCCTCTAATTGACCTTTGCATTGAGAGTTAATTTGGGTCTGGTGTGCATGCCTCACTGCCTAAGTGGTGATTACCACTGCCTCAGTGGTGATCACCATTTTCTTCTTTATGTTGACCAACTCTCCTCCATTACACTTGGGAGACTAGCATTATGGCTTGGGTTTGGGGGTGGAGATTGGGGGAACACTCAGTTTCTGAGGTCTCTCATATCTTTTATCCTGCAAGACTAAATCCTTGGTATGCATGTGTAATTACAGTGAAAAGCTGCGTGGCCACATGGCATGGCTTGTGGTTTCCATGGTTTTGGGCTGCCACAGCAACTGCCATTAACAAGTAGGAGCCTTCCTGCCTTAGCCATATAGAGTTCCCAGTGGACTGCTAGTGCAGGTGTAGGTAGCTATTGCAAAGTCTATCCTGGAGAGGAACAGCTCTTTTCTCTCAGCCTGGTCTCTTCGGCCCTGAAGCAGTGGAAGGGTGGTACTGGAGTTGCATCAACCCAAGGCTCTGAACACTTTTAGATGCAGACACAGCTAAAATCTCCAAATGTCTCTTCCTGATGATGAGCAATGCTTTGGCTTATCCAAGATGCCACAGGCCCTTCATGTCCTCATTTTGGTCAGTTACTGGCTGTGTCTGCATTAGATAGACCTTACCTTGAGTTAACCTTTGTAGCCATGCTACAAAATTTCTTTCAAACTGCTGGGTCCAGACCTGCACCATACTCAAATGTACAAAGCATGTTGACTTGTAGAGGTATATCCCATGGTGCTTTGTTCATTGACCTAATCAGATTTATGATTTACCCCAGCAAATAGTCACTCTGTAGCCTGGAACAAGTATTTGAGGAGTGTCCAGATGAGCCTTTACACACCTTAACTACCTTGAGTTAGTTGGCAGTTGGTTAACTCAGGGTAATAGTGTAGTGTAAACCTATGGGGAAAATGTAAGAACTATCAACTTGCTTCTAATATGGAATGAGTGTGAGCTTCAAAGAGGGTGTATTGGAGTGTCAGCCATTTAGCGTTCTGCAGTGAAACATTCAAGAAATTGTGTCTCTAGTGTAAAGTCTATAAAGTGTGAAGCACGTAAGGTGTAACTTGGGCACTGTTGTCCTGAATACATCAATTCATTTCACAGGCAAACTCTAATGCAGAGAATATCAAGCTGATATCAGCAATGTTATGTGCTGCTCTCTATCCTAATGTGGTCCAGGTGAGTGAGACGTTCTTTTTTTGTTGTTGTATTACATACACCACTTCCCGTTGCTTCCGTCCCCTTCCCCTTTGAGCAGCAGATTCATGTTGCATGCTTTGATTTTAACATTGGTAGGGACCTACCAAAATCACAATTTTGCGATTTTCTCAGAACCTGTGATTTTGGGCAGGCTCCATAAAAGACTGCAGGCTCTACACTTTTGGCTTGCTTGCTGAAAAAATAAATAAATAAATTTACCCACAAGGAGAAAAGCACATGGGAAGCCCTGTAGTCTTGAAGCACATGGTTGGGGTGAGATGTAAGAATAGGCTGCTGCCACAGTGCCCAGGCAAGCTCCTACTGAGCTGGGGGGGAGGGGGGTGTCACTATGTGTCTGTCCCTGCCCCTGCCTCCCCAGCTCTGGGGCTGCAGGGTGCTAGCCAGCTACGCCCTCCCTTGCAAGCTCAGGTAAGAGCTGGTGAGCAGAGTAAGCCACTGGCTGCAGGGGGCAGGTACCACTGTAGCAGTTAGAGGTTTCCTTGCCTGGGAGCCAGGGTGGAGCCAGGGGGCAGTGACCACTGTAGGACAAAACAAAGCAGGTGCTGAACTTGGCAGTATTGTGCATGGGGGCTGGGCAGCAGGCTGACAGCCCAGCACACAGTAAATTCCCCTACACATGCTGTGTGCTAGGCCTGCTGCGAGCATACCCGCTCCTCTTCCCTGGTCCTCCCCCTTCCACCTTTCCCTCCTCTCTGTGCTCCAAGACTTCAGGACTTTCCTACTTGCTGGTAAGTTAGTTTTTGGTTTTTTTTACAGCGCCCTGCTTGGGGATGGCCTGAAACTGAAGCTTAATTACCCTGATGAAGCCTGGGAATGCCACTAATCCACGCTTAATAATGCATGGATTAATGACTTCCCCAGGCTTAATCAGGGTAATTAAGCCATGATTTCAGGCTGTCTGGCAATATGTGGGGAGGGATGGGACTGCTGAGGCCCCTCAGCCAATTAGGTTGGGGGGTGGGGAGGGGGGTGTCACTGCTCTGAGCCTGCAAAATTGACAGCCAGCCCTGGCCTCTTCCCATGAAATTGGTTGGCTGCCTCCTCAAGTTCAGTAGACCCCTAGTGATAGGATCTGATGCTGGATCCCACAATCAGTCACACCTCCTGCCATGCATGCGTGGCATGGCAGGAGGCGTAGTTGTGTGGATCATACTTTGGATTCTGTCACGCCTCTACCTGAATGCTTAGTGAGGCCCTATAATATGTTGTTGATTTAGTAACAGATGCAAGTAAAGATTTACATGTGACTGTCTCAAATTTGCTTCATCACCATTTATTCTATTTACATTTAGGTGAAAACTCCAGAGGGAAAATATCAAAAAACCAGTACAGGAGCTGTTAAAATGCAACCAAAAGCAGAGGAGTTAAAATTTGTAACCAAAAATGATGGATATGTTCATATTCATCCTTCCTCTGTGAATTATCAGGTAAGTTGTTTTTTTTTTCCTGCTCAGTAAAAGATGTTGCCTCGGTTTTTTAAAAAGATCATTTATATTTAAAAGAAATAACATTGAGATTATAAACTAGGGCACTGACCAGTTTTAAAAATATATCAACTGCATGATTGAAAAATGCTACTGGGCATGACTCTT